AAAAAAAGAGTGAAGATGTCTTTAAAATTATTAACCCACATGTTTTTCTAGGTGGTCAATCAATCAAGAGAGCACTGCACCTTGAGCTTCTCTCTCTCTTGCTCTGCCCACTTCACTCTACCTATCAGAATGCTGCCTCCACCTTCACCTTCAATAAATCTGCAGTTTGCCTGTTTAAAAACAAAAACAAAAACAGGGAGAGAGAGGGAGAGAGAGAGGGAGGGAGGGAGGGAGGGAGGGAGAGAGAGAGAGAGCGAGAGAGAGAGAGAGAGAGAGAGAGAGAGAGAGAGAGAGAACGCACTGGTTTCTATGAAATGTTTAAAGTGTAATATACATTGCTTTTAGGATTTTTCTTCAGCAGGAAAATGATGACTTAAAACATTAATTAGGTTTGTCTAATATCTTGGTTTTCATAGCTAACCTAAAGTTGACAGTTAAAATGGTAAATCAGATTTAACATAAATGGGATTAATCTTCATAAATGTTTATTAGAAGACATATCTGATTAATTTGCAGTTAAAATACTAAATATCAACTGCTAAGTAAATTCAAGTATTCTTGACTTCTTAAATTCTATAACATATGTTTATAAAGTCTTTTAAATGATTGCTTTATAACTGTTTTTATTTATGTCATTTAACATTCTGTAACTGGATAAGGGTAACTTGTCACCCATAAGTAATATAAAAATTTTATGTGACTTTTTACACTGGGATGAGAATTTATATGTATTTTTGGAAAGGTAATAAGGAGAACCTGACTTGTTTAAATGTTTCCTAATCTGCTCCTGGGATGGGGACAAAGGGTATTTTCATGAATCTTCCCATTCCTTCTCCCTTGCTCTTCATATTCCTCCTACTACTATGTTTTAGTCCTTGCTTTCTTAAAACCTTCTTGTTCATTTTGTTTCTTCCTTCCTGCAGACTCCCTGACTCTAGAGGATGACTCGACAGTGATTTACTCCCATTCCCACTGTTGACTGTACACTGCTAGACCGGTCGGGCAGCCACTTTTGGGGCTTGGGACAACCCCAAACATAGGGAAGAGACAAGGCCCCAGTTAGGCAGGGACAACACCCAAATCCAGCAGGAAATAGATTCAGAAGATGGGGCTTCCTCCCTCATCACCCTCTCAAGAAATTTTGGGGCAATGCCTCTTAGGGGGAAATGAGGCAGGACAGATTGGGGACCCTTGTCCTAGGGCCCACTTCACCTCAATCAGCAGAGTTGATATGATCTTAAGGACCTCCTTTCATCCTGCTCCATTGCTGTTATCAGAGGAGCTAACTTTCCTAAGTGTAAAAAACAAGATCCTGTTTTCCAAAACTATCCCCAGGAGCGTATGCCAACTCCCAAGTTTGACCGAGAATAACCTAAGGAAAGGAAACCCCTGTTTAAGACCCCATGCATGTTACATGCATCTTATGCACCTGATTTAAAACTTGGGAAGGAGCATTTGGTGATACACAATAAGCATTATGTGCAGGATCCAGGAATCTGTCAATCACCCTTATTTAGCATAAATCACTCCTAGCAAAAAAACTTGCCAAAGGTGAACAAAGAACTCAGAAGTGGATAAAAGCCCAGATATCCTCTGAATCTGTGGGCAGACACCTTTGTCTTATCTATGCTGCATCTTTGCATCACATGTCCCTCCAATAAACTTAATTACTTTGCTTTGTCTTGGTGAATTCTTCTCACTGCCTATGCACCAGCCATTACCCAGGTCCCAAGACACACTATACAATCTCTGGCCTCATCCCTTTGCTAGCTGAGTTGGTACAGTGGGTGATAGAATATTTCTGGAAACTATTCTCAAAACTTACATCTAGCAATGACTTTACTGTACATGAAACTGACTGTAAACCACGTATATATATTCCACCAAACTCAAATTAAATGTATTTCTAGCTCTACTTTTCCTTAACCAGATCCTTAAAGTATCTACAGCCTCATCAACAGTAACAGAGATGGAGGAGGGGGAAGATAGTGGTCTTAACCAGTCCTGGATAAAATCATTTATTTTTGCAAATTTTATTAAAACATATAATCACAAGACCCGATTGTTAGGTTCCTCTCAGAGCCTGGGGAGGGATGTGCATGAGGCTGACCCAGCTGAAGCATCATCAGCTTCAGAATAAACCCACCTCCACCTGGCACACAGTCAGCATTATAGAAATGTTAACTATTATTATTGGCTCCATTTTCTGACAAGTTTTCCTCCTGTGGTTGCTTCCACATTCAGAAGCTCCAGCTTTATCTCCTCCTAGGTTCTGGTTCAGCAGGAAGGACAAAGTGTCTCTTCTAGAACTTCATGTACCAGAATTTACTTTGATTGCACCAGTCTGGCTCATGAATCCCACGAACCAAACACTATGGTCATAGTAATTCCCTGAGTTCATTAACTAGCTTTGGGGCACGTGCTACATTCTTTCAGCTGGAAGTGAGTCAACACCACCCAAACCATGGAGACAGGGAGTTGGGGAAGGATTGTTTCCCTATAAGAAATCTGGGGAAATTAAAAGAGCCATGAATGTTGAATGAAAAAAATAGATGTTCATTTACTGTGAATGTAGAGTTCAAGAAGAAAGAGTGAAGAAAAGAAGTTCAGCTAGGGCAAAGACAAGACAGAATGGAAAAGGTTGCCACAACCTCTAGCTTGACACCTTGAGTCAGGTCCACTCAGATGGGCACTAGAGGCATGGCCCTCCCTTGAGGATCTCACTGGCCTAGGTGAGCAACATGTGACCTTAGCCCAGCTCAGCCATTCCTGCCTATTCTGATCTAGAATGACCACCTCCAGATCTCTTCTGCTTGTCATATGTGTTTTTTATTCCTCCCCAGTACTGTGAATCGTTGCTTACCTGAGCCACATCCCCAGCCCTTTATTTATTTATTTAAATCAGGGTCTTGCCAAGTTGCCCATGCTGACCTTGAACTTGTGATTCTCTTGCTTTTGCCTCCTGAGTCACTGTCATTTGCCTTCTTGTCCTGACCTGGTCCTTCTGGACATAGGACCTATTTGCAAACCCCTATTTATAGCCCTTGGATGGCCTCTGTGGACAGATCTTAAGGATTTAAGCCCAAGGTCAACAACTTGGGTCTCAACCAAGTCAACTCCTAAGACTTAGCTTATAATTAATAGGAAATTGCTATCAGCAGATCCTAAATATTTCCTCTCATCCATCAGAATCCTGTGACTCTTTTGGGAGTAGCCAAGGTTGATTCATTGGGTGGTGGTTTTCAATCTTCCTGTAGTCATAAAACTCTTTTTGAGAGTCTGATAAAAGCTACAGACTACTGTCTGGTCAGGTGGCCACATGTGTCTACTGAACACTTTTTAAAAAAAAAAATTTTTGTAGTTGTAGATGGACACAATACCTTTATTTTATTTTGTTTTATTTTTATGTGGTTCCCGGGATCAAACCCAGTGTCTCACACATGCTAGGCAAGCGCTCTACCCCTGAGCCACAACTCTGTCCCTACTGAACACTTTTTGTTTTCTTCTACAGTACTGGAGATTGAATCCAGGAGTGCTCTACCACTGAGCTACATCCTTAGCCCTTTTAAAAATATTTTTATTTGAGACAGCATCTCTCTAAATTGCTGAGGCTGGCACAGAACTTGCAACCCTCCTGCCTCTGCCTCCTGAATTGCTGGGATTACAGGCATGTGCCACCATGCCTGGTTCTACTGGACACTTGGAGAGAAGCCAGGACCCCCCATGGAATAAGCTATTTTTTGTGGCTTTCTCCATTTTACATTTTATGTTTTCATTCAATTTTATATCTGGTTTATGTGAATAGAAATATTTCCCATTTTTTTTAGTTTTCACTTGTTCATAACCATTATCAATTTCCTGTTTTGACTGAGTTTGTAAGAATACATTTTAGGTTCATTTGTAATAATTAAGCATTATTTCAGTTTTGTTTGCCTTGAAAAGGAAATGATTATTGTTCAATTCTATGATGAATTGGCAATAAAATAACTGAACTTCTGTCATTTCACAAAAACATTTAGTGCAATATACATACTAAATAAACAGCTAAGAGGCGGGTGTGGTAGTGTACCCCTATAATCCCAGTGGCTTGGGAGGGGGAGGCAGGAGAATCACAGGTTCAAAGCCAGCCTCAGCAATTTAGCAAGGGTTTAAGTAACCTAGTGAGATCTTGTCTCTAGATAAAACATAAAAAGGGCTGGGGATGTGGCTTAGTGGTTTAGCACCCTTGGATTCAACCCCTGGTATCAAATAAATAAATTGCTAAGTGACTTCGACAGTTTTCCTGTACAATATTCATAATCTGACAGTTTTCTGATTGGTCCCTTTTATTTTTCTTTATTATAAAGTCTGCTGCTGAATTCTAGTAGGAAATCCCCTAAACTCCTAGAATGTGCTGAATTGGAGGGCAGAGGATAGAGTATGGGATGAAGGGCCTGTGATCAGAGGTGTCCAGATCCCTCTGCCACTCTCTGGAGTCTACTCATGGGCAGGTGAAGAGGACATCCTCACACAGGGCTGACCACTGCGACTGCTCTCATTATTGTAGCTTGGACTCCTGACTTCACAGAGCTGCCAATGGGTTCTGTCCTCTTATCTGGTTTCAGGCACTCACCCCATCACCCCTGGTGGCTTGTCTGACTCAGATGGGAGGACAGTTTCCTTGGCTTTTCCCCCTGCCCCATCCTCTGCCCTTGGCCTCAGGGGAACCAATCTCCCATCACTTCTCCTGGGACTTGTCTGCCTGCCCCTGGCTGCATCTGTGCTGATGTTCCACCTATAGGTCCTGGTGCCCTGCCAGAGGTTTCTGGAGATGCTGGTTGGCCCAGCCTCTTGGGGAAGAAAAGAAGGGCTGACAGAGTGACCTAGGGTGGAGTCCCATCCTGTTTATAGGATTGTGACACTCCTGAGGTTGGCAGATTCACAGTTGGAACTATTTCACTGGGACAGTTCCTGGCACTCAGCTAAGGAGCCCGCATCTTGGCAGGGGCTAGGCCTGGAGTGGAGTTGAAAGGATTGGCATGGAGAGCCTGTCACCTGAGGGACGACCTGACCATCCTCACCAGGTAGTGGTATTTGCTGAGCCCATGGGCACCAGTCAGAATAGGGCCAGGGGCCATTGTGCATTCTGAAAGCAGGGTGGCTCTGGTTTCTGTGTAGACTGAGACAGAAGGTGCGAGTGTCTATGCTTGGGGATGTGGAGTGGTGGGTGGGTGAACAGCACCATAGAAGCAGAGACTTGGCCAGCAGAACCTCCCTTCTCTACCATGAGTGACCAGGCAGGCAGTAGCACCATTGGTCCCTTCTCTTTCTCCTCCCAAATGCATATGCTCCACATCAGAGAACAGTGGCAGCATGTTACAAGGGTGAGCTACCAGGCTCAGAGTCTACTGTCTTAGGCCAATGGACTTCCCAGAACTGGCTGGTGCCCTTGGATCACCCCGTGTGTCTTAGATTCTCAGGGAGCCCAAATCCCCATCCACTGCTGATTATTTATTGGGTCCAAGAACTGGGAGGCTGCAGGAGGCCAAAGTAGCCTAGAGACTGCTTGCTCGGCCCCTGCCATGTGCTTCCCCTCAGTCTAGATCACTCATCTTTTTCCAGGGACCAAGGCCAATGGGATTGGTTCCTCAGGTTTCCCCTTGTAACAGTGATTATAAGGCAGGCTAAGTGTGCCAAGGTCATTGTCCAAAGTCCTTTGCCTAATCCCCAGACCCTGATGGGCTGCTTCTCACTTTGGTCCTGAGACCCAGGACTGAGTTGTATCTAGACAAGTAGCTCCTGACCAGGGCTCCTGGGAAAGACTTGGTCAGGGCAGCCTGGACCCATGGAATCTTGGGTGAGATAGTGAGAGTACCCTATCACTGAACAACAATATCCATTGCTCCAGCCTGAGGTCTGGAGGATCTATCCCCAAGACATGCATCAGTGGAAACATTCTTATGGGGCCTCGGGAACAAAAGTCTTCAGGGTGGTGGAGGGCCCAGTAAGCCCCAACTCCATCACTATTTCCCATCAGGATCCCCATGTCTCAGAACAGTCAGCTATGGAAGTTTCTGAAATGCCATCCTTCCAGCTCATCTCCCCCCCCACCTCATCCCCCCTCCCCACCCCATCCCCCACCCTGCTCTGGGTCTAGCCCTAGGGGTAAAAGCAAAAGCCCCAGACTAGAGAATCTGGGAGTCTGCCTTATACCTGGGAAGCACCTTACTTCTTGTTGGTGTTCCTAGGACTGGGTCCGTAAGACCAGGTCCTCAACACACAGGCTGTAAACCCCCGTGGCAAGTAAGACCCAGGCATAGTTTCACTGGCCTTTTTCCTGGAATGGGGGGCCTGGAGCCCGCACTGGTGGCAGCAGTTTGGCTGGCAGGGAAGGCTGGGAACCAGGAACTTGTTCTGGGACATGCCTCTGTGTGGTCTGGGAGAGTCAACTCAGCCTGACTCAGAAAGATATAGGGCCCAGGGCTCTGCCCATAGTGTCCATCATCTGCTCTCCAGCCTCCTTCATATCTCCCCCAGTCACTGAGGGCCAGCAGTTGAAAAGGACAGGACTGCTCATTCTCTATTCTTGCCAAACACTTAGGATTATGGTCACAGATACTAGGCACCCTATTCTTCAAGGGCTCAATCCATTCAGGCTCCCTTGAGCCACACCATCACCATGGGCAGGGGTCAGTGCTGAGCCTCTCACAAAACTTCCTGGCAAACATGGCCCCTGGGCCTTTCTAGGGAGGACCAGTCATTGTAATTATTGTCACAATCTTAGCAATGGTCACAGAGGTGAAGAAAGTTGGGGCTTCACCCAAGGAGAATAACCCCTTGGGGTGTGGGGCTTTCTGAGGTTGAGAAACTTAGTGATTGGAGGAAGAAATGGACAATGATACTAAAATTGGGGATGGTGACTGACTGGCTGGAAATCAAGCAAAGGGGACACTTCTCAGTAGCTCCAAGTAGCTTTAGAGCAGCCCACAGGCTGTGGACTTGTGGAGTCCTGGCCTCGCTGAAGGAGCTGGGAAGTGAGGCCTGGCTGCCTGTATCCTTCCTCTGTGTGTGGCCCTAGGATCATCTCAGTCATGACCTTCTCTGTGGCAGGCAGATGGGGAATGGAAGCGGGTGTCTAAAATGTCATTAAATCCCTTCCAGTTACACCTCTGCCTTAAAGCCCATGGGGTTGAAATGTTGCTGATGTCACTGGAGTTAAACCCCAAGAGGAGAGAAATGAGTCTACCTTGCTGGGGGATCACATGTGCTCTGCTGAAATGACAGGGACATTCAGCATGGAGTGGGAGATGGAAGATGCGAGGGCAGGGCCAGAGTCAGGAGATGCTCTGCTGCAGCCCATTGTCCTTTATGGTTCTCTGTGGGAAACAGAAAGTGGGGTCCTCATGGCACAGAGCTAATTCTTAGATGGCAGCATCCATGCAAGGATTAGTTCCTGTGGGCATGGAGACCAGCTATAGGCAGGAAGTGGGGCCAATTGTGGAACACAGTCAGGATCCAGCTTTGGTTTCTCCATACCACTGTTTCCCCACCACCCAATGCCACCTGTTCACATAGAGACACCACGCTGCATCTGTCTCCCTTGGGTGGGAATAGAAGGGGTGGGAGTAAGGAGATAAGGGTCATCCTTACTCTACCCTGGTGGCAGAGCCCACTGAGTGGCAGGAGTCTCAGCCTGGGATTTTCTTGACATAGGGAACTTCAGTGGGTTCTCTTTCAGGGCTACCACATTGTACATCTCCAGGGCTTACCATTTCATATGCCTCCATGCGAGTGGTACCCATTGAGGTCCTATCACCTGTGGCCCTTCAGAGTTCCCTCCTGGCTGGGGGCAGACCCTGTAGATTCCCCTGGGCAGGTGATGCCCATTCTAAGGGCCTTCCCTGTGTAGACTCTTCCTGCTGGGGTCAAACAGTGAAGAATTGATCCTCTTGGTCAGGCTCCTTATTAGGATGATGCAAGGCCAATGACCTTCCTTGGGGTCAGCCCATAGTTCTGCCAGGCCCATTTGAATTATCTCAGCTTATGAGGCCTAACAATCAGAAGTCTGTGCAGGGTACCCAGACATAGACCGCTGAACACCAGGATGAAGAAACTTGAGATCCCCTAAACCTAGCAGTGCCAGCCTCAGCCGTGCCCTTCTGCTCTCTGCTTTTCTTCCTGCCACCCATTTGCTGCTCATCTTTTCTGCCCCTCCATGTTCTTCCCACTCAGTTTCTTCTCCTTCATCACTTGGGCGTATCTTAGGCCCTACGTGGCCTCCTGAGCATCTTCATACACAATGACCCTTCACCCACAACACCTACTTCACACTGTGCCTGATGCTCTTGGAGTTGCCTAATTCACCCCCAAGAAAGCACAGATAGGCTGAGCTCCCTGTTAGTCCCAGTAGATATCGCAAGCCACTGGGCTCCAGGTCTCAGCCTCCTTTGAGACACTGGCCTAATTCCTGTCCAGAGGGCTGAGGGCAGGATGCTGGGAGGCAGGTCATATTCTTCACCAAAGGGCTGTCTTCCCTGGGAGCTCTGGGTGTGGCTAACTCCCAACTGATCAGTGAGATGGCTGCTCCTTGGCCCTTGCTTTGTCCTCTACACTTGAAATCCTATTCCTAAAGGGAAGAAAGGATCCCACAAACTGCCACCAAGGTGGTCTGCTGTTTCCTGTATGCTGCAACCCAGAACCATTAGCTCCAGGACAATGGTAGACAAAGGTTATCTGGTCCCGAGAGGATGTTTCCAGAGGGTCTGGCAGCCTGGCAGCATCACCAAGTATGGGAAGATTGGTGGGAATGTGTCTGCAGCCAGGGACTTGGGCAGCACAGCAGCTCCTGATTTGGGTAACAGAATGAGCAGGAAAGACTCCGCAGTTTGATATTTCTCTCCAGGGGGAGGCCTCAGCATGCTGGCAGCTCACTGTAACCGTCCTGGAGGCTCGGCGGCTGCGTGGACATGACCTGTGTGAGTCTCTCCTGGGCTCCCAAGGGTGCAGAGAGGATGGGTCGCCTTGAGAAAGGACTAGACAAGTACCTAAGGGTTGGGCTGAGCAGCCCACAGCAGCCACTGGGGTCTTAGTAGGAATCTGGCAAGGCCCCCTGGAAAAGGATATGAGGACTTCTCTCTCTTCTGATGGTTCTCTTGACATTGGCAGTGAGTGAGGCAGACCCATATGTGATCCTGCAGCTGCCAACCATTCCTGGAACAAAGTTCAAGACCAAAACAGTCACCAACTCCAGTCATCCTGTATGGAATGAGACCTTCAGTTTCCTTATCCAGAGTCAGGTCAAGGTAAAGGCTACGGTACTCTTTTTGCCAGTCACTTGCAGACAGTCTAGACCCCTCCTCCTGCAGGGAGGGTTCTTGGGGTAAAGCATATGTCCTCCAGAGCTCATGCAGAGAAACTCTGGGAAGGATGGTGTCTTTGTGCCCCAGTCTGTTTGTGCTGTAGGTGAGAGAATGTATGAAAGAATAAACACAGTCCTTCTACCCCCGGCTACAGGATAAACCAGCAAACTGCTGATCCTTTCTAAGCCCATCAATGTTGTGAGACAGTCAGTGCCCCTCCTGAAGGGGTTGCTGTTGGGTTAAAGGAGGCACTGCATTGTGGACTATAGACACATTGCCTGCAGGCACTTGCCTTAGGTACACAGGGAACCAGAGTGGGGAGAGAGTTTCTTGATAGAATTTGATTTTTTAAAATAAAAACAAAGATTAAGAGGGGAAAATTAGGAACTTTGCTTGAATTCCTTATACTTCTTTTAAGTTTTACAGCTCTATGTGAGCTCTTGGTGCTATGAGTAGATAATATGCTAAGTTGTTCTTTTGGGCCCCTAGAATGTTCTAGAGCTGAGCATCTGTGATGAAGACTTAATCACGAAGGATGACGTCTGCTTTAAGGTTTTCTATGATGTCTCAGAAGTCCTCCCTGGCAAGCTGCTTAGGAAAACCTTCTCCCTGGATCCCCAGGTGGGTGGGGAGCTCAGGATGAGATCCACTTCTTCTAGCTCCAAACTGAGGAAGTTGTTCAATTCCTCCCACCTAAGGAATGTTGCTATGTTGAACTCATCTATAAAAAAAATGTAAACGTCTCCCAGAGATATTTGCATTTTAGTAGAAAAGGAACCGCTTTAGCTGTGCAGTTGCAGATTGAATTACCCAATTCAGGAGCTTTAGTCATCTGAGAGGAAGGTTTGGGAGGTGAATTTGCTACATCTCTCAAAACACAGCACAGTACAACCACCTCAGGGTACCTCCATCACTCCTGCTCATGGAGCCCAGGGCCTGCTCTGTGAAGGTCTTGGGGCTCTTCCTGCAGCAGGCTTGGGATAGGGAAGTGCAAAGTTCTGGGGTCTCCTCAAGAGGAAGAAGGAGGGCCTAGACATCTTCAATCCTCCTTTGGCCATGTTCCTTGTCTTCCTCTTCAGCCTGGCCTAAAGCTTGGGGACCCAGAAGAGAGGGAGACCTGTTCTACAGACTTACTATTGTAGATTACGTGAGCAAGGAGCCCTTCTTGCCCTATCCTCAGTTTCCTCCCTTGTAAGTTGGAAATAACTGTAAAAACATGCTCCCCTTAGAGGCTGCTCGAGATGGCTGTCAACTATTAAATGTTCCTGACTTGCTCATCCTCTTTGATTTCAGAGACAGGAAGAGTTGGATGTGGAGTTCCTGATAGAAAAAATGTGAGCAATATTTCCAGAGAGTGGCTGAGGACCCCTCTATTCAGGGAAATGGCCCTGACTCAGACCCCATTGATCTGTCCAGCCCAGTTGCCCCTCATCTCCTCACCCCTTCCAAAGTGGTCCTAGAGAATTGAGGACAGAAAGCCCAAATTTCCCTTGGCCTGCTCTCTCCTCTCACCTTCCATTCTGCAGAGGGCTCTCTCCATCACCCTAAATCTTAGCCAGGATTTAAGAGCCTGTAGCATCACCCTGGGAGAACTCACATGGGGGGGCGGCGAATCTCGGCAGCCAGGGGGAACCAACTCAGGATGCTTTTGCCTTTGCGAGGCCAGACTCTAAATGGTTTGACTTTTCTAGGTCCAGCTATCCAGAAAACCTCATCACCAACAATGTCCTTGTGGTAACCACCTTCCCTGGGCTTAGGAAAGGGGCCCCGATAGCAGGGGGCAGGGTGTGGCTGAGAAGGAACAAGGCAGGGGCAGGGCTTGTAGTAGACCATCCCCAGCCTCTCAGCTAGGTGGTCACCTGGGGCCATGTGGCTTGGAGACAGTGGTCACCTGGAGCTAAAGGTCACATGGAGAGCAGGGAGGTGGGCTCTGCTGAGAGGAGGTTTTGGTCCAAGATTGAATGGTTAAGGGATTGTAGGGGAAATTTTAGGTACTTTCTGAAGGTGTTTAGTCATGTAATGAACTCCAAGTTCCTAAGACAGAATCAGAGTTCTTCCCTGGAAGTCCTGGTGAAATCCTGCAAGCCAGGCCCACCTTCAGGTTGTCAATTTTGAGGTCACTGAGATTCAGAGGGAGTTTCCAGTATAGTGTGCTTCCAACCTAGGCAATCAGGGTCAGTCAACTCCTTCTGGAGACCTGGGAGGGTCCTGGTTCCCTCTTTCCCAGCTGCAAGCTCACCAGAGTGCAGTGGACAGGAAGGACCACAAGGTGGCGAGTTCCTCATGAGAAGCTCTCTGCTCTGTGACCTCAGCCTGGCAGCCCTGGAAAGGAACTGGAAGCTAGAGTCCTAGGATCAGAGATGGTGCCTTGGCACAAAATCTAAGGAGGCTCTCACCCTCAAATGTGTGCAAGTGTCAATTTGATGAACTATATTACTTTTTTAAAGAATACACACTAACATGAAGTCATATCTATGGCAACTGCCCATTCTCTGGGCGCCAGAGCCCAACAGTGGGTTGGTAAATTCAGCAATTCTAGGGAAAGGGCCAATCATAAGGGTGGGCAGGACCATTGCCAGGGTGCTTAACAGACAAAATGCCAGGGCAAGTCCCTTCAGTGACGACAGGAGGCATTCTAGTCACTCCTGTGTTCAGTGTTTCTTCATCACCCCACTGGTCATCCCGTGGCCTGTGTCTACACATGCTACTTGGGAGTTGTCGTAGTGGAAAACAGCCGCCAGGTCAAGGCTGCAGAGAAACAGAGAAGAAGGATCTGTGCCTGGGAGCTGGGGGCTTTCAGAGGTTTCATAATTTCTATAAAATCAGGAGAACTGGGGTCCGGGTGGAGGTCTCCTGGTTGCTGTGGAACTTCAGGCTGAGCAGTTACAACAGATCTGAGAGGGAGTGAAGGGCTCCTGTTTCCAGGCTCATGCCGAACCCCCCTTCTTGTTAGTGTGTATTGGATTTAAGACAGTAGGGCTTAGAGGGTTGAGGTTGAGGAGGCTTCAGTTTACCCTGCAGAGCCCCAGCCCATGATGTGGTCTGCCCCAGGCCCGAGAGCTATCATGCCTGAATATCTGCCTGGACAGAGCAGGGAGTACAGCACTGACTGCAGGTAAGATCTGCTCGGAACCAGGTCTGGACTCTGCCTGGAACATGGAAAGGAGGAGGGTGGGAGAGGGGGTGTCAGAGGGGCAGACACACAGGGAGAACTGCAGAGGGCAGGAGTTGAGCAAGAGTAGAGCGTGCCTCTGCCTTCTTGACCACAGGAGGGCAGCATGTCTCCTCTGGGCGGGAGATGAGCCACTGAACTGAATGAGAACATGTCACAGGATGTGGGAATCCCAATGGGGGTTGTGAGGTCCAGCAGGCCCAAGAGGGCCCTTTTCAGAATCCTGCTTACCACGTTCCAGCCTCCTGGACTTTGTCATACCCAACCAGTGTTGCTGGTTTCCCAGGTCCTAGCTGGTTCCAGGCTCTTGTTCCCCATATGCTAACTGCTCCCTCTCTCCCTAGGACAGGACAAACTGGAATTGGAGCTGGTGCTGAAGGGGTCATATGAGGACACACAGACATCCACCCTGGGCACAGCCCCTGCCTTCCGCTTCCACTACCTGGCAGCCCAAGATGCAGAGCTGAGTGGGCACCTGAGGGTGGGTCTCCACTCTCCAACTCTCCTGCCAACTCCAGCCTTTAGCCAGCTCCAGTTATTCCTGGCCTTCCTCTGCCAAGGCCAGGCCCCCTGTGACCTTGTCGGCCTTTCCCAGTTAGGCACCCGACCCTTGGAAGACAGTGAGGATTCGCAGGGACTGGAGACTACTACAGCATGTCAGTCTTTGAACCCTCCGATGACTTTTCTATTTTCTTAGAATAAAACTTGATGTGTATGTCCACAAGGCCCTGCGCAGCCTGGCCCCTGCCCACCCCTGTTCCCTTTGTTCATGATCCTCCAGCGGTACTTGTTTCCTCTTCCTTTCCCAACATGCCACATGCTTTCCCTGTCTTCCTCTGGTTGCATCCAAGGGGGCGGCCTTCTCCACCGTCTCCTCCTCCTTAATATCTCAGTTCAAATTGCACCTCTTCAGAGGATCCCTCCTTGACTCCCCACCTCAAACAGACCCCACGTTTGGTTACTCAGTCATATCACACTGCTTATGTCCTTCACAACACTCATTAACATCAGTTCATTGCCTGTTTCTTTATAAAATTGTAAATGTGATTCAGTGAGACCAATGCCTTTGCACTAAATATTATCTATGATGATAATGATGATGATTCGGTACCAGGGATTGATTCCAGAGGTGTTTAACCAATGAGCCACATCCATAGGCCTTTTTATTGTTTATTTTGAGTCAGGGTCTTGCTAAGTTGCTGAGACTGATCTCAAATTTGTGATCCTCCTGCCTCGGCCTCCCAAGTCACTGGAATTACAGGCATGCACCACCACACCCAACTAGCCATGATTATTTTATAAATATTAGTAATTATAATTGTTACTAGTTTTATATTATCAGAGAGGGACTTAAGCTATCTTGTTTGTAGTTAGATACTCAGAATTATCAAATGAGTGAATGAATGAATGAATGAATGAACAAATGAATGAATATTTCCCTCCAGAGTTCCAGAAGCAGTGGATCGAATTCAGACAACTCAGCTGGGCACCTCACTGTGCCCTTGAAGTCCTTGGCCATAGGGAAAGAGGTGACCATCAATGTTCCTACAACAAATGTAAGTTGCCTCAACTGGATTGGAAGTGCCAGTTGAATGAAGTTGAAAGAGCGCAAGACCCCAGGGGATACCATGTCTGGCTCAGGATCTGGGACATTCTAAGCAGGGTCTCTTGCTTTGATTTCAGGCTCCAGGAGTGAGGTTGCAGCTCAAGGCAGACAGCTGGTGAGGGGCATTCAAATCTGTGGGGGCAGTGAGGGGTGAGCAGAGGAGGGGAATGCTGTGGATCTTGGGGTTGGAGCAGAGAGATTATTTGGCAGCTCATTGTGGAGATAGTCAAACAGTAATTGAGCCATGCATGGTGTCTTCTGACCCCCGGATCCTCCACTGCTCTAGCCCTAAGGAACTGCCTGTTCGCCTGGGCTTCGATCTGTGTGCTGAGGAAGAGGCCTTCCTGAGCAGGAGGAAGAAAGTGGTGGCCAAGGCCCTGAAGCAGGCCCTGCGATTGGACAGAGACCTGCAGGAGGATGAGGTTTGGGGGTATAGGAGAGATGTGGGTGCACACACTCTGGACTGGCCTTAAAGTAGTACCTGATTCCTATGCCCCCTACAGATAATCCAGTACTAGAGAATGGATAGTGCGGGTGTGGGGGGGAGATGTGGGCCATGCCTAAGTGCCAGGGTTCTTGCTCCATAGGACTCTGACCTGGGCTGAAAGCTGTCCCTTCTTGGGTAAGGGTTTGCCCTAGCTCTAACCCTGACTCCAGTGGTCCATGAACACAAGGCCCCCTCCCTGGAGGCAGTGAGTAGGGTGGACTCCTGGGTAAGGAAGGAGGCAGCTCATCCTTGTGTTGTTAAACTGATCTATATCTGTGTTCCAGGTCCCTGTTGTGGGCATCATGGCTGAAGGAGGAGGGACCCGTGCCATGACCTCCCTCTACGGCCACCTATTGGCTCTGCAGAAGCTGGGTCTCCTGGACTGTGTGACCTACCTCAGTGGCATATCAGGCTCTACATGGTAAGGGCAATGGGAGCTGGAACAGCAGAGGTGGCCAGGCCCCAGAGGGAGGCTGAGTGGATGCTAGAGGAGTCTTTTTTGTTGTTGTTGTTGTTATTTTGTAGTTGTAGATGGATACAATACCTTTATTTTATTTATTTATTTTTATGTGGTGCTGAGGATCCAACCCAGTGCCTTACACATGCTGGGAAAATGCCCTGCCACTGAGCTACTATCCCAGCACCAAGAAGTAGCCTATATATGGGAATGCCAAGTGGGTATGAGTAGTATGATCATCAGTAGTAAGATGTGACAGGGATCGTTCAGCTTTTTTAAAAGGTAGAGACAGATGTATATGGAAGTGCTGCCATGTGGCGGGGGGAGATGCAGGAGGCCCCTCCTAGACGCTACCAAGGCACTGGAAGTTTGCTGATCCAGTAGGAGCTGGGTTTGATCTTGGCAATCCCACATACAGGCTTGGGCACCCTTGAACAACTTCTTTCTTCTTATTCTTAGTTGGCTTATGTCCAAAATGGGTGTGCATATGCCATAGAATTGGAATAGACAGCCATGTAAAACATTTAACCTAATGCTTGACACATGCCAGGAGCTCCAAGTTGGTGGATCTTTTTTAGGTTTCATAGTTATTACCTGGGTTAGTGCACATAACACTTTTTGAGATAGTTTCTCTTCTTGCTCATATGTGATAGAGATGAAGAAACTGAGGTTAAGAGATGCTGTTTGACCTAAAGATAGCATTGTCTTCCTGCCCCCTCATGCTTCCTATGGTGTTAGAAGTTCACCTCCTTGAGTCTCATTGAAATATGACTTTGAGGGCCTGGGGTTGTGGCTCCGAGGTAGAGCACTTGCCTAGCATGCAGGAGGCACTGGGTTCGATCCTCAGCACCACTTAAAAATAAAATAAAGGTATTGTGTCCATCCACAACTAAAAAAAAAGAAAGAAAAGAAAAGAAAAAGAAATATGACTTTGAGGAGAAAAATAGGAATAAACTTCTGGGGAGTTTAGATGACAGCTGTTGACAAGCAAATTCTCAAAGGGCTTGAGGATAGGTCTGAAGATGGGAAGGGTGTCTAGTGCTGACCAACATGGTAGTCACTAGCCATATATGGTTATTGACTTCTTGAAATACGGCTGGTTCAAATTAGGATGTTTGGGCTGTGGATGTAGCTCAGTGGTAGAAACCTTGCCTCACATGTGAGAGGCCCCTGGTTCAATCCCTAGTTCCACAAAAACAGAAAACATTTTCTATTTGTAACACATCCAAAATTTGGATGTGTTACAAATATAAAATATATACTGAATTTGAAGATTTGTCTTGAAAAAACATAAATTATATAAATAACTTATCCATAATCAACCTACACTTTGAAATAATACTTTTTGCATATATGGAATTATTAAAATTTATTTTTATTGGTTTATTTATACTTTTTTAGTGTGGTTACTAGGAAATTTAAAACTATCTATGTGGTTGGGATGTGGCTCAGTGGTAAAGTGCTTACTTAGCATGTGCGAGACTCTGGGTTCAATCATCAGCCAGCACTATACAAGAAAAAAGATAAAGAAAGAAAGAAGAGATGTTAATTAATTACATATGTATCGTTCACATCATATTAATATTCATCATCATTGATCTAGAAGAAGAGAAAGCCCTGATACACATTTCCAAATTTGCAGATCCTTGGCAGCAGGAGCAATGTGCTGGGAGTAGATAGAGGGTGGGAAGGAGGAGCTGTAGTGCCCCATTCTGGGTCCCAGCATTGTCTTGCCCCTTGTTCTCCTAGGGCGATGGCCCACCTGTACTGGGATCCTGAGTGGTCGCAAAAGGACCTTGAGGGACCCATCAGCCATGTCCGGGAACATCTGACCAAGAGCAAGCTGTCAGCCTTCTCCCCAGAGCACCTGGAGATCTATCGCAGAGAGCTGCAGCTGCGGGCTGAGCAGGGCCACTCCACCACAGTTGTGGACCTGTGGGCCCTGGTGCTGGAGTCCATGCTGCATGGCCAGGTAGAGCACATGCCCAGATGGGGCAGAGTGGGTGCGGGCATTTTTTTTTTTAATATTTATTTTTTAGTTGTGGTTGGACACAATACCTTTATTTTATTTATTTATTTTTATGTGGTGCTGAGGATCGAACCCAGGGCCTTGCACGTGCTAGGCGAGTACTCTACCACTGAGTCACAACCCCAACCCGGGATGTGGGCATTTCTTAAAGAATCTGGGAACTATATCCTGTGTCAGTATCTTTTCAACTTTGGAATGCTACCTTTCTGAGTTAGACTTTTCTTCAATTAACTGCCATGTAGCAGAAATTTCTGGACCTCCTAAGATCTGGGGATCAGTCAGGGTCAGTTAAGCAAACAAAACTTTTGCATTGTTTGAGACAGTAAGATTTCTAGAACCACTTTTTAAAAATTTATACTGCAATATGAAATGTTATCATTTTTCCTCATCTTCAGATAGAGTTAAAAGCACAGACTTTTGAACCAAATTCCCTGGATTCTAATTTAAGTGTATTTTACTTTCTGTGTATCATTAGGCAAATCACTTAATCTCTCTCTGTTTTCTCTGTACAGTGGAAATGAGAACAGTATTTTTTCTCTCGGGTGTGTTGTGAGCATTCAATGGCATCTTGGCATAGAGTAAGCACTGAAGGGTTAGCTCTTATATGTCTTTACTAGTATCCTAACAACATCAAGACAAAACTGAGCATATGAATTTTGGACCACAATGTTTCTTCCGAAGAATTTAATAAGTTAACTGCTGGATCTCGCATTAACTGATACAATTATTAAAATTTAATTATTCTTTTACATTCCTGTTTTATCACATATAATTATCTGAAAAAAGTTTCAAATGGATTAGAAACAACTAAAAGACAAAAGTGTCTTTTAATATGCAAAACAAAAAGTAAACTGACTGGGGACAGACTCATGTAGAGCCTGGGCTTACATGCACAAGGCCCTCAGGATCAATTGCCAGTACCACAGAAGAAAAGGGAACTGTCAAGGATATTAATAGCAGAAAGAAGGAAATGAAGTCACTTCAATTTTTTTCTTTAAATTTTATTCTCAGCGGCAAGCACAATGTTGCTTAGAAACTACAAACCATTCTTTTGTTATTTTAAAAAATATTTAGTATGCAAATATCAATATTTATATAAATATTTATTATTTAAGTCTTCACACCTAAGAAAATGAAAGAAGCACAAAACATTATAATGAATATGCAGGATCTCACCAACCAACCTAAGAAATGAAATGTTACAGATAGAGTTGAAACCCCATGTCCCCTCCCCCATCCCATTTCCCTCCCACACCATCACGTCATCACATGCATATCTATAGTTCATATACTTTAGTCTATTATATAATCACATATATTTAATATACTTTTATTATACATTCTTTTATTACATATGACTTTAATACATGTACCCTTAAGAAAGCACAATATTATTTGAGTGAACAACTGTGTACAAGAATCCTGATACAGATATGTTAGAGATTCTCTAAGACTCTAAGATATATATCCAGCAGTTGAACTTTAGAAACATTGAGTCTATATACCTTCAACTCTCCTAGCTGTGCTAGATTGTTCTACAAAAGAGTGGTTTTAATTCATAGCCCCACTACCTGTGTATATTAGTTCCGTTTTCTCTACCTCTTCTTCAGACTTAGATTTTTTTTTTTCCATCTATGGATGTGAAAGCAAACTTCAGTATACTTTTGCATTTGCTTGATTTTTAGTGACACATCATACTTTCAAGTCTATTTATCATTTGGGTTCCTCTTCCATGAATTGTCTCCTAAAATCCTTTTCCAATTTTCTATTTTTAATATCATCTTTAGAATTTTTTTCAATATTCTGGATATTAATATTCTTGCATATTTTTTTTTTGGTACTGGATTTGAACCCAGGAGACTTTACGACTGAGCCACATCCCTAACCCTTTTAATTTTAATTGGAGACAGGGTCTCACTAAGTTGTCCAGGTTGACCTAAACTCGTGATCCTCCTGCCTCAGGCTCCCAAGTGGCTAGGATTACAGGCATGTGCTGCCACACCTGGCCTAATATAAGTTTTGAAGATCTGTTTCTTACAAATAGGACTTGAATTCAACCAAAATTTAAGTGTTATAGGGACAGGGCCCACTTTATTTCAGATGGATCCAAACACCCCCAGTTTTGTATACTGATTTTTTCCCCTCCCATCATTGGCATTGAGACTTCTATCACATCAGGTTCCTATATTCATAGGACTCGTCCTGAGCTCTCTATTCCATTCTCACAGGACTTATTATCTATCCCTATGCCAATAGCACCCTGACTCAACTATTGTAACTTTCTAATAAATCTTGGTATTTACTAGGGAAAATTTACCCCTGGCACCTTTGTTTTTCTTTAGAATTATCTTGGCTACCCTTGGCCCTTTGCTCTTCTCCCTACATAAAATAAACAGTTAATCAAGTTTCATGATAAATGTTGCTGGGATTTTGGTTGACACAGCATTGGATTTATAACACCAAAATAATTACTTGAAATATTTTTATTTTATTAATATTCTATGTCTTCTTTGGATCTATTGTTTAAGATTCATATTCAGATTTTTGTTTTGTTTTGTTTTTATTGTGTGTGCTGGGGATTAAGCCCAAGGCCTCATGCATGCCAGGCAAGCATTCTACCACTGAGCTACATCCCCAGCCCTTATTTATTTATTTTAAATTTTGAGATAGGGTATCGTTGAGTTGCTTAGGGTCTCGCTAAGTTGCTGAGGCTGGATTTGAACTTGTGATCCTCCTGCCTCAGTCTCCCCAGCTGCTGGGATTATAGGAATGCACCAATGCACCCAGCTTCCCAGTTCTATTTATTTATTAATTTATTTATTTTGGGATGGAGTCTTGTTAAGTTGCCCAGGCTGGCCTTAAACTTGTGATCCTCCTACCTCAACTTCCCAAGTAGCTGAGATTTCAGGTGTGCACCCCTGCTCCCGCTCATATTCAGCTTTGAAGGTTTTTTTTTTGTTTTGTTTTAACGTTTTTTTTTTTTTTCTTAGTTGTAGGTGGACACAATACCTTATTTTATTTATTTGTACATGGTGCTGAGGATCGAATCCAGTGCCTCACACGTGTTAAGCAACTGCTCTACCACTGAGCTATAACCCAGCCCTGAAGGTGTTTTATTGACTGAATTTTCTGCCTGCTGGCAACAACTAGTTACTATAGTGAGGAGAAGCTTATTTTAACAGCTCACTTCACAAGGGGCTAGGAAATTTAGTATGATCCCAGGCTATAAAGAGGATTTCTACTTAATCACCACTTGATCCTCTAGCAATGTCTTAATGTGTGGTTTTATGTAAAAGGTTTATAGTCATTTTCAAAAAGACAAAGTTTATTTCATTCTTTATCGTTCACAAGAATAAAAACCCTTGTGACATTATTGACCATGTATGTATTTTTTGAAATGAGCACCTATGCTGCTTAAAATTTTGTCCCCATATAAAAGTTTTTCAATTTATTGTTTCCTTTATTTTCTTAGCTATCATGTTTTACCTCTTAATGATAATTTATTATAATATATTCTTGTTTGTTTGTTTTGGTACTGGGGATTGAACACAGGGGTGTTTTACCACTGAGTCACATCCCAGCCCTTTTTACTTTTTATTTTCAGACAGAGTCTCACTAAGTTGCTTAGGGCCTCACTAAATTACTGAGGCTAGCCTCAAATTTGTGATCCCCCTGCCTCAGATTCCTGAGTTGCTGGGATTATAGATATGTGCCACCGGGTCCAGCCATTTATTATTCTTAAAATAATGTTTTATTCAGACAATTTTAACATTGATTTCTAATTTTTTGTAAGTCTTTAGAGAAAGGCAGTTATTTATTACCTCTATAATATACTAATCTAAGTATGAGAAATCATTGTGAAATATCAGAAAAACTTCTTTCAAGACAATTAATGATATTAATTTCATTAATATCAAGTTTATTAGGAAAGTATCATATCTTGAAACATTACTCAGAATGAACTTGTCATTCTACTTATGTCTAAAATATTGGTTCAGTTCTTATAACAATCTACTACAAAAATGTACCAGTTATGCTGGGGGTGAGCTCAGAGGTAGAGTGCTCACCTAGTATGTGCAAAGCCAGACTTTGATACCTAGTTCACCCCCCCACACACACACATACCAGTTATAATCAGTGCATTTCAAACTAGTTATATGTGTGTGTGTGTAGGAGGGTACTGGGGATCGAATCCAGGGGTTCTATACCACTGAGCTGCATTCTCAGCCCTTTTTATCTTTTATTTTAAGACAGGATTTTTCTAAGTTGCTTAGGACCTTGCCAAATTGCTGAGGTTTTCCTTGAACTTGCAATCCTCCTGTCTCAGCCTCCTGAGTTGCTGGATTATAGATGTGTGCCCTCACTCAAAATACCTCTTTAGATTTTTTTCCTTTATTTTTTACTGGCAAGTCTTGAACTGCTTAGAAGCTCCTTACCATTCTAAAGGAGAAACTCCTAGTTTTTCTCTTATCTTCTCCTGAGTGAAGAGGTTTTTACATATTTTTCTGCAATACTCAACAACAAAAAAAATTTGCACACCCTTTAGTTTACTATGTACACTGCCTGAACCATATCAACATATTACCAAGCACCACCATTTCCAGTGGGTACCTTGAGTTGTCAGAATGATGTTCTGCAGAATTGGGGATACTTACTTGGAAACTATGAGGCTAGAGATAAAAAATCCTATGCAGCTTAGTTGTAACTATCACAGGGTATCCTTGGTGCTGTTTTAGTAGGTGTAAGGGTTGCTTACCCTTTCCCAAAACTTTCTCTAGGGCAGAAATTGTGAAACTGTAGTAAAAAGCCATTTTCCTCCTCATTATACATATAAAAAGAGCAATAAACAGTATCGCTAAATAAAAAGACATTAAGCTGGCAAGAAGGTGCATGCCTGAAATCTCAGCCTCAGGAGGCTAAGGTAGGAGGATCTAAAGTTTAAGCCTCAGCAACTTAGAAAGACCCTGTCTCAAAATAAAAAATAGAAAGAGCTGGGGATATAGTTTATTAGTAAAGCACCCCTGGGTTCAAAACTCAATACCATAAATAAATAGATAGACATTGAAGCTGGTGCTGGGAAACTTGGTAAGACCCTGTATCAAAATCAAATTTGAAAAAAGATTGGGGATGTAGCTCAGTGGTGGTAGTAGAACACTTGCCTTGCATGTACAAGGCCTTGAGTTCAATTCCCAGTATTGCAAAACAAAAAAGACATTGAGAAGGGAAATTGCTGATGTTAGTCAACTCTTATCCTCCCAATCACATGGACACATTCACTCCGCAGCACTGATTTATTGATGTTGTTGAGATAACGTCACCTATAGCAGGAGCTCAGGCCCTGTTGCGGATTGTTCTGTGGATTCCCTCTATAACTCAGGTTATATTGGGTACCACTGAAGAACTGGGGGAAAGATGCATGAGTTGACACATGAGTGCTCTTGTCAAGTGACAGAGGACTATCAGGAAGGAGGAAAGACACTACTTGTGCTAGATTTTTGCCACACTTATAGGAAGGGGACTTCTTATTGGGTAGGCTGGGCTAGACTCTTGGGACTCAATCTCACTGATCATCAGAATCCCTTGGGGAGGTTTTTTAAAAAGATAAATTCTGAAGTGACTTCTGATAGACTGATTCTCATACAGGCCCGTCAAGCTATGTGTTTAACCTGCTTTATAAGTAAATTTGGATATAAGGGCTGGTATGGTAGGTTGGGAGCTTCCTAGGTCTCAACACTCTTCTACACTAAAAAGCCTAAGACAGAGATGACATGTGCCATCCTGTCCAAAACAGCCCAGGGCCAACAGCCCTGGCCTCATCTGTGGCAGCACCATTCTTGTCAAGGCATGGCTTTGGGCAGCTGCCACCATTCACCTTTCACCTTGAGGGAGTTTGAGAGGAGCCCCATGTACATCTCTGAATAGAATGTGAACTTTCTGTGTCCCTAGAACTCAGGGAGGCTCTGTGGGGCTCCCCCCAAAAGCAAGCCATAGTCTTTGCCATCAGTGACAGAGCTTGGCATTTTATTAAAGAGAGAGTTAGAAACAGAAGGCAGGAATAAACCACAGGGTACAACCTCATACTGTGCAAACAAAGCAGGAAAGGAGGAGGAGGAGGAGGAGGAGGGGGAGGCAGGAACACCAGGAAAATATCTGGGAGGGGCTGAAACTTGAACCCTAAAAGGGCAGCAAGTCCCTTGGCATAGCTCAGTGTGTACTAAAAGGGGATTGCGGTGTGCTTTCTGGAAAGCAATGTGTGCATGCATACATGTGTATGTCTTCATGTCAGTATTCACTTCTGCTCCTGAGTCCCACTGAGGCACAGGGTATGGGGAGAAGGACGGTTGTCACTGTTGTCTTCGGGAATGGCCCTCCTGGGAGATAGGCAGTATACAACCTGCAGAGCCCTACATGTCCACCTTGGGCCTGGTGAGGACATGGGGACAGGATTGGGAACTGGATGCACATACCCACCATTCCTCCTAAATCCCAGTGAAGCAGCCACCTCCTTCCCCCCAGCCTATGTTCCTGCCCTGCCCTTGTCCTGGTAGAGTTGCTGCTTTCAGGGTGCTCCCACCCTCACTTGGGTCCTCATGTCCTCCAATCCCAGGTTGTGGATCAGAAGCTGTCAGGACAGAGAACAGCACTGGAGCGTGGTCAGAACCCTCTACCTCTTTACTTGAGCCTCAATGTCAAAGAGAACAATCTGGATACTTTCGAATTCAAGGGTACAGTCCTATTCACTCCATCCTCCAACACACACACTCCCTAAATCCTCTGCACCCTGAGAATCTCCAGATAATTCAATCTGGAAACTTCTATGCAGATTGTACAAGCTTCTGGAAGGGTGTTGGTGCTAGTAAGCCCAAGAGTCTGCCTGGGGTGCTCCTTGCCCTTGGGTGGGGGTGGTGTTTGAACATGCAGATGGGGTAGGATGGGGCTGGTTAACCTAGGACCCTGCATTCCTCATGTTTCCTGAGTTGGTGCCAGTCAGGAGGAAGGCTGAGGCATGTCAAGGGGCAATATCTTTGACCCTTGGCAGAACTCAGCCTCCCCCAACCCACACAACTCACATTCCTGCCTCTCCTTCCTGCCACATTAGAGTGGGTTGAGTTCTCCCCCTATGAGGTTGGGTTCCTGAAGTATGGAGGTTTTGTCCCTCCTGAGCTCTTTGGTTCCAAGTTCTTCATGGGGCAACTGATGAAGAGGCTCCCTGAGTCCCAGATCTGCTTTCTAGAAGGTAAGGAATGGTCACTCTGCAAGTTTCTTCCTGGACATGAATCCTGCAGCTCAGGTCTGGGCAGAGCCCCAGGGTGAGGGGCAGGGGTTGGGCAGTGGGGAAGAGAAGCCATTGGAAGAAAAGCCTTTTTCCAGTTCCCATTTTCCATCTGCACTCAAGAGTGGGGACCGCTGGCTTCCAGGTGGAAAAGACAGGGAGCAGGTGCCTGAAAGCTGACCTCTGTGGGTTTGGTCTTCAGGTATCTGGAGCAATATTTTTTCCCTAAACTTGCTGGACACCTGGTATGGCCTCACCTGCTCTGAGGGGGACTGGAAGCAGCACATTAAGGACAAGATCCAGAACGTAGGTAGGAGAGGGGACACTAAGGGGAGCCCAGGATGAGGCTGCTTCCCTTTAGATATGGTTGAGGGGATGGAGTGCCTTGGGGGAAGAAGAGCTGGACATTTCCAGGCCTCTCAGTGGAGTAATGTTTGTTCCTCTGGCTGCAGAGAAGGCACCTGTAGCCTCCTCTGCAACCTCCTCATGGATGGAGTCCTCCTGGCTGAAGTCTGGAACAGCACTGGCCCAGGCATTTAAGGGCTTCCTGACTAACAGGCCACTCCACCAGTGTGAGGCCAACTTCCTCCATGGCCTCCAGCTACACCGGGACTACTGCAACCAGAAAGACTTCTCCACCTGGGCAGGTAAGGGCCATAACAAATATGGACTCCTGGGTGAGGATGGGCCATGGTTGTTAACTGAAAGATGCTTGGGGGTCACAGCATCCACTTCTGGTCTGTAGTCTGGAGAAGATCCCATTGAGAGGTCTTGGGAAAGGCTGGGGTGGCATGTGCATTTAGGGAGTGACACCAGATATAAGGAAGGGACGTGGAGGTGGATGTTGTTGGTGGGCTACTGTGGCAGGGTGGCTGCCTCTGACTGTCACTGCCTTTCTCACCAGACTTCCAGCTAGACCCCATCCCCAGTCGACTGACCCCCCAGGAACCCCAGCTCTGCCTGGTGGACCCGGCCTACTTCATCAACACCAGCTTTCCTTCCTTGCTCCGGCCCGGTCGCAGGATGGACCTCATACTCTCCTTCAACTGCTCCCTAAACTCACCCTTCGAGGTGCTTCTGGTTGCCCCCTGGGGACCCAAGACCCTTTGTCCAACCAGGCCAAGATCCAGGGGCAAGCAGCAAGGCCATTGAGCTACTGACCTACACCAAGGAAGGGAGAGGTAGCAAGCTGTAACCCACAAATCCTTCCAGGGTCCTGGTGGGGAAGGGCTGCAGTGGTGATGGGGTCCTGGGCTCCCAGGACGCCTGCATGGGTCATATATCACCACACCAAAGAAAAATAACTGGACAGAGCTAGGAGGAGACACTGGGCATCTCCACATGCAACCCCACCTCCCCTGAGGACTTGGTAATGCTGGTATGCATATGTAGGTCACCTACTGAAGCCCTCTAGGCTCTGGGACTTGAATAATCCAGCAGTAGCAATCCAAATGGAGGTAGAAGATGCTGGGTCTTCATCGCACCTAAAGATTTGAACCCCTAGAATCCTCAGACTCTCTCTGAGGCACATGCAGCTTAGCTGGGCCATGAGCAGGACAGAACCAGCTGGATGACTGGTGATGTGGGTTGATGGGTTCTCTGAGCTGCCTTCTGTTCCTCCAGGCGCTGCAGCAGTCGGAGCTGTACTGCAGGGCCCGGGGGCTGCCCTTCCCCCATGTGGAGCTCAGCCCTGAGGACCAACTCCAACCCAAAGAGTGTTACCTCTTCTCAGACCCCACCTGCCCCGAGGCCCCTGTCTTGCTGCATTTCCCGCTGGTCAATGTTTCCTTCAAGGACTACTCAGCTCCCGGTGAGACCGCCTTTCCTCTTCCAGCCAAGCTGCCTGGCCCCTTGAGGCCCTGCCCCAGTCACCAGGGGAGAGGGAAGAAAGTCTGCCCTGAAAAGGCTCAAGGCCTTGGATAGATACCTCTGGCCTTGGTGGCTGACACTCACATCCCCGCAGCATCCTCATGTCACTGTGCAGGTTTCCTTAGAGTCATGACCCCAGGCTCCTTTAGCCTCCTCTTCCCCCAGTACTTATAGATACCCCTGAACTTCTCTAGTCCTGCTCCGGGCAGTAGCTGGGGGCATAGGTCACTTGGCCTCTTTATTATGCTGGGCAGCCCAGGCTGAGGTCCTTTCTCAGGAAGCTGGCCTTCTTCTCCTCAATGGCCTCCAAATCTAAACACTTATCACGCTTTTATTTTCTCCTCCCATCAACTTGTCAGAGTTTATTTCCTTTGGGTGGGAAAAATCAAATTTCTGTCTTAGTGGGTTATACCCCAATTTTTAGTTCCCACCATAATTTAAATCTCCCAGCTTTATTCTTAACATGTTCAGCCCACATCTTGGAATTCTAGAGAAATTTTCTCTCTCAACAAAGGCTGGTTCTTACAAAGCCAAAGCTCTATTAGTTTCCACCATTTTTTAACCTAATTGACTTTCTTGTTCTGGCTGTTTCCACCTTACCCAGAAGCAACACAGAGCCATACTGTGGAGCTGCCTGAATAGTGGAAGAAGTGTCATGCTACAGGGAATTTGGGAGCAGAAAACTCCTCATACTTAAAAATAGCATTCTACCATTTACATTGATATTTTTGGGTAAAAGGCACAGATAATTGGGGAAAAAGCAGCTCTCCACTATATCCTATTCAAGGCTTAGTTCTGGCCAGCTGTAAAGGCCTCTGGTCCTTCTCCTGATGCCCCTTCTACCCCTGGGCAGGTGTCAAGCGCAGCCCTGCAGAGATCCCTGCTGGCCAAGTGGATGTCACCAAGGACACCTCCCCCTATGCCCTGTGCAACATGACCTACAAGAAGGAAGACTTCGATGGTCTGCTGAGGCTCAGTGACTACAATGTGCAGAACAGCCAGGCTGCCATCCTGCAGGCCTTGAGGACTGTTCTGAAGCGCAGGGCCCCTGAGGCCAGGCCTTCAAAGGCACAGATGTAAGACTGCTCAGGAACCCCAAGACTCCAAGGGCTACATTCTGACCCTCTGAAGGCTGGGAGCTTAACCCAGTCTGCAGCTGGGCGTAGCCACAGCTCTCTGGCTGAAGTTCCCAGCTCTCCTGGGCCGGGGCTACCTCACTCAGGTCCTGTTCAGGGCAGGCTGCATCCCACCCACCATTCTCCCTCATGTTCACAGCTAGCTCAAGAGGAAGTGGAAAGAAACTCTACTAGGCCAGTGTGTAGAGCAGCTGGTCATACCAGACAAGCTTTCACAAGTAGTTACTTTAATTCCTGAGCAGAATGGATTTGGGATGGCTTTAGGCACTAGGAATCTCTCTCTCTCTCTCTCTCTCTCTCTCTCTCTCACACACACACACACACACACACACACACACACATACACACCTGCCCCCTCCCATTCAGTATAAAGTCTTGCACTCATTCAAATTTATTCTTAAGTATTTTATTATGTTTGATGGATTACAAATAGAACTGTTTACTTCATTTCTTTTTCAGATTGTTCATTGCTATGTTCTAGAAGCACATTTCATTTTTGTATATTGATTTTGTATTTTGTAATCCTGCTGAACTTGCTTCTTAGCTCTCATACTTTCTATATATTCCTTAGAACTTTCCATGTCATCTGCAATGGAGATGGTTTCACTTCTTCTTTTCTGATCTGAATGCCTTTTATTATTATTTTTCTTTCCTAATTGACTAGAATCTCCAGCAGTATTGAATGAACGTGACAGGAACAGACATTCTTGTTTTGTTCCTGATATGGGATGAAGGCATTAAGTCTTTCACCATTTAGCTGTGGGTTTTTCTAAAACAAGTTCTTTATCAGATGGAGAACTTTCCCTTCTATTTCTAATTTGTTGAGTGAGTTTTTCTTTAATCATTAAAGGTATGAAATTTTGTCAAGTGATTTTTTTGTGTGTCTGTTGAGATAATCATGTGAGTTTTGTCTTATATTCTATTCTTTTTCCATTCTTTTTTTTTTGTGTGTGTGTGGTGCTGGGGATTGAACCCAGGGCCTTGTGCATGTGAGGCAAGCACTCTACCAACTGAGCTATATCCCCAGTCCTCACAAATTCATTTTTAACAACACTGATAGAATTTATTGGCATTTGTGTTTTATTTTATGCAAGACATTTTATATTATTTCTCTTCATTCTTCCAGCTGCCTAATATGTTAGGCAGTGTTATTATCTCCATGTTATCAGTGATGAAATTCAGGAGTGAAAAAGGAAGAGAAGCTTCTTCTTACTTGGTCTGCTGGGAGCTGAACTGGCTCTGGCTGCTGGCCATGGTACCCTCCTGATGAACAAAAGTACTTTCCAAGAGCACCAATGTCTTACAGGGTCACCATAAACAATAATGACAGAGCAAGAAAGAGGCAAGATCACTCCATAAATATGTCTGAACATGGACAAAATCAAGATCACCATGAAACCATAAAAATGGCTCAACATTTCTGAGCATTTGCATTTTTCCCATTTAATTTTCACAACAGCCCAGTGAAGCTAAGTACTCTTCCTAGGAATTAGGTTCTGAGGTTGGAGGTGGCAAAATCACTTGCTCAAGGGCACAAAGCCAGCAGGAGTGGAGCCAGGATCCAAACCCAGGCCACCTGCCTGCCGAAGTCACAAGCTAGGCTCCACATGTGCTAACAAAGCCCACTTTTTATAGGTAGGACAAGTCCTGATACCCCTCAACACCAATGCAGAGCGCTGGTAGTCACTGAACTGGCCAATGTGTCATAAGTCAAGAGGCCTAAAGAATTTCTTGTCTTCTTATGGAGTCTAGGACAACTGGATCTATGGTGAATTGGGTCCAACTTACTAAGTTTTAGAGTAAAAATCAACTTACTTGGGACTGAGGTGGTACTTAAGATGGGGAAATTTCAATACAAAAATGGAGAAGGTCCTGGGCACACTGGGACAAGTTAGTCATCTCACTTAACATCTGGCAATGGGCAGGGAAGCAGAGACAGAGCACTGGCTGGCCTAACTCTGCCCAGGTAGAGGAAGATGGAGAAAATAATAGATGACTCTTGGCCTTTGGGTGTGTTATCCCACCCACCAGTACTATTGACCCAGTCAAGGTTTTGTGTTCTACTAGTCAGAAAAACAACTTATCCCCTTGCATGGGGGGAAAGGGGTCATAAGTATTTGCATTCCAGCAAAGAGCCCCAGGTGAGAGTGTGAGCTTTCCTCTGACTACAGCCTTCCTTGGGGAGGGGGCTGGACTGTGGGGGATGAACTGGAGCGAGCATTGAACAGCTAGGAATAACCACTCAGAACAGACAGAAGACATCATTGTGGGAGAAGGCTGGAGTTCAACCTGGCTCTGGCTGTGATCATTGAACTTCTTTAACCCTCTTTCCCATCTGTAAAAGGAGATGCTGAGATAGTTCTGTGCCCTTGAGCAAGTGATTTTGCCATCTCCAACCTCAGAACCTTTTAGAGATGCTGGAAGGATTACACAGGCTACTACTGGTGAAGAATTTGTCATAATATCCTGTACATAGTAGGTGCTGATAAATGGTAGTTGTTATTTTTAAATTTATATAATTATTTTAGAAATGAGCCTATATCCTGATTGGAGATGTGCCCCATGGAGATGGAGCACTTCTTTTTAAATATATATTTTTATTTGTTCTAATTAGCTATACATGACACTAGAATGAATTTTGACACATCATGCATAAATGGAGTACAATTTCTCATTCATCTGATTGTACATGATGTAGTTACACAGATCATCTAATCATATATGCACATAGACTAATAATGTCTGATTCATTCTACCCCCGTACCCCCTCTTCTCCCTTCACTCTCCTCTGTCTAGTCCAAAATACCTCTATTCTTGAGATGTAACATTTTTATGCACATAAAAAAATCCCAGTTTAAACTGCCCCTGGGAAGGGAGGGGGTATAGGAATAGGAAAGACAGCAGAATGAATCTAACTTGCCTTTCCTATATACATATATGAATACACCACAGTGAATCTCCATATCATGTACATCCCCAAGACTGGTATCCAAATTAGGGTAAGACATAATTAATTTTTGTAAAAATATGTCAAAATATATTCTACTGCCATGTATCACTGATAACAAGTTAAAAAAGGGGAAATAAAAAAAACAAACCTGCAATTAATTAAATTCGAGTGCAAGTCAGATGTATACTACCAGGGGGCATGCTATAATGCCACGGCTGCCAAGACAGTTTGCCTGGCTGGGCTACAATGGCCCAGTGGGCTACAATGGGCCCTACCAGCACAAAGCATGTTTGTTATTCTGTAAACCTTTTCATAAAATATGCTTTAAAACTCATGTGGTGAGTTTTAAATTTATTTAATTAGCAACTAGCATTTATAGGTATATTCAAAGAAGGACATAATTTAGAGCAAAATTCAAAGTCCTAAGCACCTAAGTGAAGTCTCTCTCAGCACTTTCACACTCCAGTGGCACTTGGGATTTCCCTCTCCATGGCTAGGATGTCCATCAACAGCAAAATGGATAAATAAATTTTGGCGTATTCATGTAACGGAATACTAAGTAGATATGGAAACAAACACTGCATCACACACAACAGATTTTGTAAACATAAAACTGACTGTATAGGCCAGATATAAAAGAATAATACTGAGCCAGTGCGGTGACACAGCCTGTAATCCCAGTGACTTGGGAAGCTGAGGCAAGAGGATTACAAACAAATTAGAGACCAGCCTTGGCAACTTAGTGAGACTCTGTCTCAGGGTAAAAAATAAAAAGAGATGGGAACATAGCTCAGTGGTAGAATGCCACTGGGTTCAATTCCCAGTACTGAAAAAAGAAGGAGGAAGACTGATAATACCAAATGACTGCATTTACATAAAGTTCCAAAACTGATCAGAATAATTATGTTAGAAATCAGGATGGTGTTTGCCCTGAGGGCCAGGAGAGCCATGATTGGAAGAAAGTACAGAAGGGTTCTCAGGTACTAGAATGTTCTATTTCATGATCAGGGTGCTGTTTACACAGGTGTGTGTAACAGTGTCTTAATCTGTTTCCTATTGCTCCAATGGAATACGTGATACTGAATAATTTATAAAGAAACAAACATTTCTTTTCACTCTGGGAACTGGGAAATCCAAGGTTGAGGTATTGCATCTAGGGAGACCTTCATGTTGGTGGGGACTCTAGAGAAAGAACCAAGGCGGTGTGGGGACTCACACGATGAGGGGGCCCCATACAAGAGGGGCTTAAACCAGCCAAACTTTATAATAGACCCACTGTAGAGATAACTCATTAGCCCATTTACACATTAATCTAAGAATGGATTAATGTATTCACAAGGGCAAAACTCGTTTTACCTAATCACCTCCCAAGATTCCACGCCTTTAAGTATTATTAACCTATGACTTTGGGGATTAAGTTTCCAGCACATGACAAACATTCAAACCACAGCAAATAATAAAAAGTCACCTAGCCTCAGGCTGAGGACTCATGCACTTTTCTTCATATATGTCAAGTTTTAATTAAACATTTACTAAAATAAATCTGGGGGTAAAGAACAGCATGTGCATAATGGACAAAAGGAACCTTGGGTTTGTGGCTACCAAGTAAGTGACACCTCCTTCCCAGTGGCATCACAAAGGGTGTGACCACGACTTAGTATGTCATCTCCTAGGCACTGGGGATTAGCCCAGGAGCAGACACCTAACTCAAGTGAGCTGATCAGAGCCCTTCCCTAAAGTAAGGATGCCTGTTGAACAAACTTCCCCCTGATGCTGGGGTTGCAGATGAGAGCAGGAGAGTCCCAGATGCTTCTAATCCCAGTTTCGGTCCTTCCTCAACTTGCCAGAATCTTCATTCTTTTAATTCTGTGAGTCAATCCTATATCCCTCCCAATTAGGTGAAACAATAAATTGCTTTTTATGCTTAAGCTTGTTTAGTTTAGTTCCTGACACTTAAAACCAAAGAGTCTTGACTAACCCATTGAGCAACTGGGTGGATGGCAGGGCCACTGTA